AGGCCATCCTGTCTAAGGCCCAAAGTATCCCAATGACAGAGGATGCATTGGAGGGGGTTTAAGTCACCCTTTTTGACCAAAGAATTACCCATGAGGTATAGAGAGAGAGAAAAGAAGAGAGAGAAAAAAAGTGTGCCTTGGGAGGGACAAATACGACAAAATACGCCCTGGGAGGGACAAGTGCGCCCTGGGAGGAACCACACTGAAGGGAGGGGGAATGAAAGGGTGTTCTTGAGCCAGAATTGGGGTGACTTACCCTAACCTCGTTCCTGCGATGTGATCTCATGGTATCTTTGGCACCACAGGATGACGCCAAGAGGAACAAAATGCCAAGACCAACAGAAAGGTTGCAGCAAAGAGGGAGGCCAGAAGGCCTTGGGGATTAGGTTACACTCAAATTGACTGTTCCCACCTGACTCCTCACGGAATCTAAAGAGACCCTTGGCATAGGAGCATGCGTATAAGCCCTGCGCCTGGTAGGCCAAGCCTAGAGCTACTGGCCAAGTCTCCACTAAGCCGTATGGGTCTCAAGGAAAAGGATAGTCCCAGTCAAGCCCTGGCCAGTATGCTAGGGCCGGGGTAAGAGCTGTTCACTCACTCACACATCCATATGCACACTTCAGAGAGAAGAAGAGAAGAGAGGAGGAAAGGAGCACTCTGGTTCACAGAAAAGGTTCAGGGGATGGTTCTACTCAGCTGTCCCAGGTTTCAGCATCAATTTGTTCTGTCCTGAGTTCTGTGGCCAGCCGCAAGGAAGAAAGACGGGAGGCAGAACGACTGAACAAGTAGAATTTATTGCTCTCAGGCAGCAGCTGAGACAGAGCTCCTTAGGGTGGAGTCCACAGTTACTGCAAGTGCTGTAGGGGTAAGTGTCTCTTATACAGGCTTTAGGTTCAGATTCTAGAAAGCTGACGTGATGCTGTACATCTGGATGTGAGGCCTAGTCCCAGTCATTGTCCTATTGCCCATATCTGATCACACAGGTAGCCATTGTGTTACTGCCCATATCTGGTCACACGCAATAGTCCTTTGTTTTGTTATAGCCCACAGGCCCCTGTTATGTGGGTGTTGTATGGCTATAGCCCTTGGTTTTGGTTTTTGGCCTTTGGGGGGCTTTTCGTCATTCTCTGGTCTTGGAACCTAGGCAGGTGGGTGGCTGTTCCATCCTATTGATGTTGTTTATTGAGTTAGTGCAGGGTCTTTGGGTTCACTCTGGGAAAGGTTTCACCAGAGCTCCCCTTTCAGTGGCAGTGGCAAATTCCCAGGTGAGTTTCTCTGTGAGACAGAGACTCAGTTATATTTAAAAAGCAGATTTATTAGGGGAAATGACAGGAGTATTGGATACTTGCACAAGTAGACAGGAGAGATGCCCCAGAAGGGACAGGTTTTCAGAGAGGCCTGCATGTTTGCAGGCAAGAGGCCTTAGGAGAGCAGCCTCCACTGAGGGAGGTCAGTGCAGAGAAGTCCTGGCATGGTACAGGTCATGCGCAGGCAGGAGGCTGTTGCCCCCTCAGAGTGAGAAAGTGGGTGGGAAGAAGCACTTACATAGTCAGAGGTGGGCAGAGGACTGTTGCCCTGCGCTGGAACAGAGACTGCACTGATATAGACATCTTTTTGGGAGGGGCTCACTCCTTGTGAGCCTAGGTTTGTTGACTTTGAATAGAATCTGAAGGGACAGGTGATCCCACAATGAGTTCAATCTCCCTATCATTATCTTTCACCTTTTGGGTCTGTGGTAAACGGAGCCTATAGCAGTCCTCTACCTGCTTGGATCTTCTGCTCTGTAATACAGGCATTGGCACCTGGGTAGTCTTAATTTCTCTGGTTGTGTCAATGGCTATTCTAATCCCTTCTACCCCCAACTTCTTGTTTGAGTCAATCTTGTGATGCCTTCTTTCTGTTCTTTCTTCCCCATTACCACCCGGTATCCTGCACTGATGGCCGCTGTTCCAGTACTGCCTCAGTTCTTCTGACAACCTTCCAAGGGACAGCATTAGCAAGGTTGTCTGCTAGAGGTTTCTCTTTTCTTCAAGGAGGTGCCAACAGCCTCTAAACAGGCTTCTGGAGAGTATGTTAAGATTACCACAGTTCTCTGCCTCAGTGTTTCCAGCAACAGCAGTCCTGGAAGCCCGCACTCTTTGTGGCTGGACCCGCCTCACCCTAACTCCAGGCCAGCGCCTGCGCATTACGAAAACCACGCCAGCCTCCGCAGACTTGTGGGAAATGTAGTAGGGCCCTACCCATGGAGGCGCTGGGCTGGGCCCCGCCAGCACTGAATGCACTGGATCCTGGTAGGAAAGATGTGTTTCGGACCGCGGGGGAAAGCTTGTCAGAGGCATCGGGAGGAGAAACGCAGCACCATTAAAGGGGGGTCCTGAAAGGCACTGGCGGAGAGGGGTGGGGCCTCCTCTTCGCTAGTCACAGGGCAGGCCGCTGGCGCCAGGTGCGCCCGCCCTCAGGTTCCCCCTGTGGCGCTTGGCGGTGGTAGGGACACCGGGAACTGGGAGTCGCCCAGCGGGGTCCAGTCCTGGGAGCGATGATGGCGGTGTACCTGGTGCGGCAGCCTTGGGTAAAAGAGGCTGGAGATTCCTGAAATTGCTGGGACCCGCGGTCCGCCCTCCCCGTTTTCCCAGGAATCTGTCTCGGAAAGGAGGAGCCAGGGAGGTCTTGGGGGGTGGCGGGGTGCCGCTGGACCAGGCTGCTGGGTTTGGAGGCTCCAGCACCTGCTCTTTGTATAAAAGGCATTTCGGCCACACGCTGGTCGGTTTCTCATTCCGGAGGGCGCCAACTTGGGCTGCGTCAGAACGGGGAAGCCAACCAAGTACAGATTTCTACTTCAGGGAATCCTTTGCATTCTTTTTTAAGGGTCCCCTCCCCCTGCC